CCGGTTCTACCTGTCGCAGCTGTCCAGCTGTCCAGGGGGGTGTTTCTCCAGGGAGAGGCTGCGGGTCATCCCGGGCAGCTCGGCGGGCCCTGTGCGGGGGCTGTCCTGCAGGGACGTGGCCCGGTGCAGGGACAGGCTGGGCGGCGCCAGGTCCTGCCCTCCTCCTCCTCCTCCTCTTCGTCCCTCTCCGGGGCCGTCCGGCTCCACCCCGTCGTCCCCATCGCCCTCCTCTCTCTCGGCGTCCCCCAGCACCCAGGCCTCTCCCAGGACGCCCTCCGCCTTGCGGTCCGTGTCCTGGATGGCCCTCAGGTAGAGCTCTGAGTAACTCCTGTCCCCCCCCAGACAAACCAGTCAGAACCCGCCGGTGCCCCTTACTGGGACTGTACTTCACTGTCCCTCTCCAGCGGTCCCTTGTGTCTCTGTCCATCACCCTCCAGTCCCTGCCCGTCACCCCTGTCCCTCTCCATCACCCCCTGTCCCTCTCCACCTGTCCTCTGTGTCTCTGTCCATCACCCTCCAGTCCCTGTCCATCACCCCTGTCCCTCTCCATCACCCCTGTCCCTCTCCATCACTCCTGTTCCTCTCCACCGGTCCCCTGTGTCTCTGTCCATCACCCCCTGTCCCTCTCCATCACTCCTGTCCCTCTCCACCGGTCCTCTGTGTCTCTGTCCATCACCCTCCAGTCCCTCTCCATCACCCCTGTCCCTCTCCATCGGTCGTCTGTGTCTCTGTCCATCACCCCTGTCCCTCTCCATCACCCCTGTCCCTCTCCACCGGTCCTCTGTGTCTCTGTCCATCACCCCTGTCCCTCTCCACCGGTCCTCTGTGTCTCTGTCCATCACCCCTGTCCCTCTCCACCGGTCCTCTGTGTCTCTGTCCATAACCCCCTGTCCCTCTCCATCACTCCTGTTCCTCTCCACCGGTCCCCTGTGTCTCTGTCCATCACCCTCTGTCCCTCTCCATCAGTCCTCTGTGTCTCTGTCCATCACCCCTGTCCCTCTTTACCGGCCCTCTGTGTCTCTGTCCATCCCCCTGTCCTTCTCCATCAGGCCTCTGTGTCTCTGTCCATCACCCTCCAGTCTCTGTCCATCACTCCTGTCCCTCTCTACCGGTCCTCTGTGTCTCTGTCCATCACCCCCTGTCCTTCTCCACCGGTCCTCTGTGTCTCTGTCCATCACCCCCTGTCCCTCTCCACCGGTCCTCTGTGTCTCTGTCCATCACCCCCTGTCCCTCTCCACCCGTCCTCTGTGTCTCTGTCCATCACCCTCCAGTCTCTGTCCATCACCCCCTGTCCCTCTCCACCGGTCCTCTGTGTCTCTGTCCATCACCCTCCAGTCTCTGTCCATCACCCCCTGTCCCTCTCCATCACCCCCTGTCCCTCTCCACCGGTCCTCTGTGTCTCTGTCCATCATTCTCCAGTCTCTGTCCATCACCCCCTGTCCCTCTCCACCAGTCCTCTGTGTCTCTGTCCATCACCCCCTTTCCCTCTCCACCACCCCTCAGTCCTTGTCCCAGACATCCGTCTCTCCCTTGTCCCTCCCTTTCCCTCTGACCCATCTCTTCCCCCACTCCCTCCTGTCTCTCCTCCCCCCAGCTCTGACCTGCGCGGTTTTCCGTTCTCGTCCGGCGGGATGACGGTGAGCCGGATCTTGGTGGCGGCGCGCAGCAGCTGGAGCCTCTCCTGGGGCGGGAGGGAGACCAGGAGCCGGTCGCAGAGGCGGGCCACGCGGGCCCCCACCTGCAGCCCGCTGCTCTCCGCGTAGCTGAAGGGCCGCAGCTCCGTCACGAAGCCGTCCTCGCTCAGCCTGAAGTCCAGCTGCCCCACGCTGTCCCGCAGGGGGGTCAGCTCCTGCGCCTCGCAGCCCCGGGTCACCAGCTGCAGCCAGCGAGAGGGTCAGAGGTCACGGGGGTCAGAGGTCACGGGGGGCGGTGGGCATGCGGGTCAGAGGTCACGAGGGGCAGAGGTCCAGATGATTGGAGGTCACAGGGGTCAGAGGTCAGGAGGGGCGGTGGGCATGCGGGTCAGAGGTCACGAGGGACGGAGGTCCAGATGATTGGAGGTCACAAGAGTCAGAGGTCATGAGGGTTAGAGGTCAAGAGGGGCGGTGAGCATG